TACTTTTATAGAAATAGTTTACGGATACGAATAGTAATCGTGAAAATACGAGTAAAGAGTACGAGTAGTTTCACAAAATTAACCTAATAATTAAATAGACTATAAAAAAAAACAAAGAAAAACAACTATAATTTTTAAATAAAAATAGTCTTTATTTACCTAAACAAAACCAAAACACTATTCTAAAATAAATAAAATACAAAAAACTTTGTTTAGAATATAAATAAAACAAACATGGTCAATTTGACAGTAAACAATTAAATACAGTTTTTTAAAACTGGTAATTTTTCACTTTGTAAGAACTCATCTTTTTGTTTCCCTACTTTATCGTTATCGTGTTAAAACAAATCAATATTATTTCGAATACGCCTTCACACACTGAAACAGAAAGATGGGGTTTCTGTTATTTTAAAAAATTTTAAACTGTAATCGTCCCTATGTGTTTAAAAAAAAATTAAATTTTGACTGCACCCGAAGATGGAAAGAAAGTTTTTCGAAATGTGTATAGTGCTGTGCTTACAATAGAAAATAAAATTAATGACCGAATAAACCAAGGAACTTTTTATTTATATAAAATTCTGCTATGGTCAGGAAATTATCCTTATTCAAATTAACGAAGATTGTGAATGGAGACTAAAGACGTTTAATATTTAACTGTTCTCGTAGGAAACACATTCACACCACCACAAAACACCAAAAATAATAAAACGTAAAACGCCCAACAAATTGCTTTTCCCAATATTCCCAACCCAAATAAGAGACCGAACGCAACCGAGGCCGTTTCGTGTCGTGATACTGGCGATCGATAGTAGCGACTGGCGGTTAACATGCGATGATCAAAAAATGCCGACTACTCGTAAAATAATACTCGTATATTACAAGTACATTCTACGAGTAGATTTAAATTTACTTGTAAGTAAGAGTAATAAGTACTTAAAATAAAAAATACTTATAAGTAAAAATTACGAGTAGTTATTCTACTCTTGATCGAAATACGAGTAAAAGTATTCGAGTACTTGGCCAGCTCTGGTCACATCTCACCAGATCCTATATCAGGTTCTATTCCAACCGTGCGGAGCCGTGTCATTATCACCAAAACAACCTCCTTGGTGTAAGTATAAAGATAAGTGAGACTAAGAATGAATTCTATGGCTTTTGTTGATGTGGTATTAATGCCTCCTGTTATATTGATACGTGCTGTTTTTTGAATTTGTTTTAGTCTGTGAATACCCAGACAACTGCACCGTATGTTAGCACAGATCTTATGGTGATCGTGTAAGTTTATGTGAACTACTCTGGGGGAGAGACTCCAAGTGCGCCCCACGGTTCGGTAGCATTTTTTATAAGCAATCCATGCTTTTTGGCTGTGCATTCTAGGTTTGAGTTCCATGTTAGTTTGCTGTCAAAGATGAGACCTAGGTCTTTACCTCTGTTGCAAAGTTTAGTTTTGTGTTTAGGAGCTCTGGAGGTTTTAGTTACACTTTCACTTTTTTTCTTGTGAAAATGGCCATTTCTGTCTTCTTGAGGTTGATAGACCGCGATTGGTCCTTGCACCACTGTTCTATAATTTTGAGGGCTACTTGTATTCTCTCTCAACATTCAATGTTTGCAGAATGACCAGGTCATTTTCATAAGCTATTGTGTAGAGACTGTCATTATCGAGGCGGCTGATGAAGGTGTCGAAAACCATGTTCCACAGTAGAGATGGTAGTAACCCTCCCTGTAGACATCCTCTCGCAAGTAACCTCTTTTATATTCTACACTTATGTTTACTGCTCGCTTTAAGAGCATGTTAGATAACCACCCACTAACTATTTGTGGAACATTTCTATTGGATAATGAGTGTATGATCTTGGGAAATTTGGTCTTGTCAAAATCAATTTATATGTCTATGAAGACACTCAAGGCGGACTTTTTATTGTCCAGGGATCTCTCTATTCGGCCAGAAACTTGGTGAAGGGCCTCGGGTGTACTGCATGCTGATTTGAGTATTGTGGTATTTTTTTTGTGTGTCATCGGCTTCAACTGCTAAGGTTATTTCGCCTTGTGATCTGTGTAGGCTTTGTTACTGTTTCCCAGCGCTACTTTAGGAACAGCACTGTTAATTAGAACCCAACAGTGAATGATCGAGTGGGGAATCCTACCAAGGCATCAGAATTAGAATCAGAATTTTAAATAATTAAATTAAATGAAAAAATCTCGGCCAACGGTGGGATGTTCTAATTATCACATCCCCTATGTACCGTTCGCATAGCTTTTTCAATATCTTCATGAAAAACGATGTCAGCCTAATTGAAGACCTTGGTGCAAGAAGGAGACAGGTCAATATTTTTTTCATAATGGAGATATGTATTGCAAAAGCTTCTATAAAGCATAATCTATCATTTGGTGCAAGAATAGAACGATAATTTTTATAAACAACGAAGATATAAACACTTTTGACTCGCCCCCTTCACAATTTTGGTGCAAGAATGGAGTGATCCATGATGACTTATCCTGTTCTTGCGCCAAACAAACTTTAAAATAGGGTCTATGCGTGTTGATTTACGCTCTACAACTACAAATAGCAAGCAAACAACACGACGTACAATTTTTAGTAGTTACAGTTCATCAAATTTCTAGAGGCTTTCGACGGCTAGACAGAGAAAGCACTACTGACAGGCATCCCGACGGATTTACGCAATGAAAGTACACTCTGCGCATCAAGTATTTCACTATTTCATTCAGACGTAAATGTCAGATGTAAATTTCGCTAAAACATTTCTTTTATTTTCTTTTGTGTTTATTGCTCATTACAGTTTAATAGAACCTAAGTATGGAGTTTAATAGCAAATTAAGAGGCCGCGTGATTAACAGTCAATCTCGCGAAATAATAGCCAATGTTATAGAGTTTATGAGAAGAGAAGGAAACTTTAATTCACCTTCAATACCATTTAAAAATGTAAATGATCGTGTTGCTGCAGCCACAGGAGTATCTAAAAACAATGTCGTCCGCATTTCTGGAGAGAAAAAAAGAATCGATAACCGTGAGATATCGGAATTTTCATCACCAAGAAAAACCATTAAAAAACCAAAAACAGTTAATGATATAGATGAAGCTGCACAAGAATCAAATTTTATTTTTTTATTATTAGATAGCTATTTTTGTTTCTGAGTTGTGTTCATTTACAGGCTCACTTTTTTTCCGTTTCTCCTTTTTGATTTTATATGGGGTTTCAAGTTGTTTTTGACTTATTTCGACGTAAATCACAACAACACACTTTTTTAATAAAGCAAACAAGTGTTAAGAGGTATATGTACGTGTAAACTACAATTACAAAAAAATTGATATGAAACCCATGAAACCACCAACAAAAATGTTAAGCTAGCTTCCGTACTAGAACATGGTGTCATTCGTCGAGATAATTTATCGTTTTGTTTAATAGATCAAGAAATGTAAATATTCCCCTGTTATTTTTTATAAAATTATAAGAGAAATTTTTTTCTAAATAGTATAGTTTATTATTTTGTAGAAAAACAAAATTTCAAAAATTTTAGTAATGTTTCAGAAACAACCGTTATTAAAAATAGGTACCATTTTCCTTAATAAGGTAGAAATAAAATATAAACTATTTCCACGATTTACAAAGGCCTACAAAAAAATTATAGGTATTTTCCGCTATCCTATAAAATTTATATTTTCTGACTCAATTTCAAAAGGTTGAAGGAATTCCAAAACACCTTTTATGGCATAATAATTATTTTCAATTCTACATACTATCTTTAGCTGCTTTTAAAAACGTTCTAAGAAAGTCCAATCAGACCAATTTAATCCCTAAACTATTCCACACTTTTAAAATTTAATTACCTAAAAATATTAAAAACTATTTAAAATAACTTGTTTAGCAGACTGTACAATAGCTATCTTAGTCACACGTAGCGCGTTCTCTGTCTGGGCGTCGAACACCTCTAGAAATTTGATGAACTGTAGAAGATATTAATTAGATAATTTTTTTTATTTTGTTTTCCTTTTTGCGTATTATGTGACTCATCCCGTTCTTGCACCGAATATATATTTTTTCAAATTTTTGGGTTTTTTTATAATAAATTAGCCTATGTAATATTTTTATGCAAATACAAGATGTACTTTATAAAAATAAAATTAAAAAAAATATTTTTTTAATTCCTTTTTTCGCCTCTCCTGTAAAATTTTAAAAAAGTCACTTCTTGCAACAAGGTCCTCAATTATTGGCCGATATGTTATTGGGACAGTGTAATCCATCTGTCCAGGTTTGGATATAAAGACCACTCATGTAACTCTTAATTTTTTGAGAATATATCTCAGATACAACGAGGATTTGAATATACCTTCCAGGTGCATTGTGCGTTCTTCCAGACCCCATTGAAGTAGAGCTGGATAGATACCGACAGAACCTGGCGATTTAAATGGAGAGAAGCTAGATATTGCTCATCTAATAATTACGCCCCATACGCATACCCCAAAAATTCAAATTTCCAACTACGAAGCCCTTGTACATTTATTTTAGAAAAATAATGCTGAATTAGAGCTGTTCTCCAAGTCTTCTACTTTAACTGCTGCTCTGTAAACTTACTTTTATGAAAGTGAAATTAATATAGTTAGAAATATTCCAAACTTTTCTGTTTTTTTTTTTATTAAAGCCAATAGATTCGTTTTGCATAACGTTTAGCATATCTTAAGGGAATAAGTATTAAAATTTAACTTAAAAAGAAATTTAAAAAGACGTCAGTGGGTATTCTTTCTTTCAACAATTATTTCATGCTTTCGGTGGATTTTAAATATTTATAAAATGTTGAACGGAAAATGTAGCGGTAGGTCACATTTTAGGAAGTAGTCGGCAAAATGACGCATAAAAAAATGATAGAATTAGTGAATACAATTTAATAACCTCTTAAATCATCCAATAATCATTCGTCACTATTGCAACTTGTAATTTCAATCAACTCTTCACTTCATAATGTAGATGTTCTTTTTTTTCTAGGGCAATTATGCGAAATTTTTGAAAAACCTCCACTCGGAACAAATCAACAAGCTGATCTTGAAAAATCAACACGAATGTGACCTTCTTGAAGATATTAGAACATTTATAATCAAAAGGTCTTCAATAGAAAAATCGTATTCAGAGGTAAGAAAATTTCTGCTTTTGTTTTAAATTGCAGCGTGGACTTGACGTTGATTTTCTTTTAGGCTTTACTAAAGATATCTTCTGCCTATTTAAATAAGAAAATTCCGAATATTCCTGATATCAAATTAGATGGAGGAGATGAAAGATGGTAAGTTTTTTATGACTGTCACATGTTACTAATCAGTTGAGTTTTGAATGTCGCTATATTAGTGCGACGTAATAGAGTTGACTTTAAAGATAAACAAACCGTTCTGTCATTGAAGTTGACATTTTAAACGGTTTTTTTTAATATACTCTGCAGGTCCTAAAAGTTGTTTAAAGATCTCTAACAAAATAGTTTTTATTGGTTGTGTTCACCGTCAACAAACGTGTTGTAATGATTTGTAATCAGTGACGATGACCTGTCAATTGCTTCACTGCTTTTCAAATCGTGATGGATATTCATAAAAGCGCAAATAGAGTATGTTTCTGTCTTTAAAACCATAAAGATGACATTGAACCTCTGCCAATACTGTTTTTTTTTTTTAGCATTTTGTTAGGTTATTTATATTTTTGTTCCGATTTTGATTAAAAGAAATGGATATTCGTTATAAAACCATGGAGTAAACGGTGGTAATTGTTAATTATTTGCCTATAATTAAAAGAAATCAAATCAAATTTAAAATTTTAGGTTAAGAAAACAAAGTGATGGTTCAACCGTTCAACGTCAGCTCAGTCGATTATAAAACGTGATTCTGATTCTTTAAACATGTTTTACGACGGTGAACACAGCATTGTTTAAATGAATAACCTTTTATTTTTGTCATTGTCATTAGTCATTGAAACATCCAGTGAACTTCCAGTGTCGTATATAAATGGCACATTTCCACACATATGCAATCCATAAGATTTTATAAAAAAATCAATGGCGCATTAAGATTACTGTACTCTATTCTTTATTTGAAGTTTTCGAAAAGGCGCCAAGAGTTTGGGATATCCAATTGTTTTACTACAAGTATTTAGCCATTAGTCAAAATCTGTCACACCTCTTAGTTTAGAAAAAATATCTTTTTTTAAAGGGTGATTTTTCGATAAAACGCCCTGGGGTTTAAGACATACGACAAATACTGCAAGTAGACCTTATGGGGTACTAATATAAATATAAATATAAAAATATAAATAAAAGAGGTAGTTTTTGCAGAGGCGGCTCAAGCACAGCTCTAGGCACACCACTGATTTTTATATGCGTTTTTTGTACAATAACTCCTGACCTACTCTTAGCTGTTAAGTCCAGGACGGACGAATTACTCTAGAAATTCAGTTAAAAAATTGTAAATTGCTCGTTAAATAAGAAAGATACAAAGTTTATTTCGCTATAAAAAAATTTAAAAAATTCATAGTTCTTTCTGATTTTAAGATCGATAAAGCCAGTTTCTTTATGTCAAAAAAAAAATACGGGCTGGTTGAAAGGTACCCAACCCCCTAACTTTTTTCAAAGGGATCGCTTTAAATTTTTTTTTCTCCTTAGAATATTGGGCCTTCAAATCTACAGCACTGGCAAAAATTTAGAAAAAAAAATCGCAACAGTAAACTTTTTACAAAAAAAAAAAATGTTTTTCTGAATGTAACTTTGTTGGGAGCCAGTTTTTGATTAGGTAAATATAGCCAAATCCACTTATTTTTTGGTAATCTATCTAAGGATGAATTTATGACATATCTTTTTGAAACACCCTGTATATACACTGGTCTAAATATGTCACACCTCTTTGTTTTTTTACAAAACGGTTGCTTATTAGTAATAATAAAAATTATGCATGGGAGTTATTTTGTATTTATTTATCCTGTTATTCTCTAAATATTTTTATCATATATGAATTACCCTCGGAATAACCTAATTCAAGAGGAGTAATTGCCTAATTCTAAATCGTTCATAAAGAATTTATTAAAACATCCCTGCTTTGGACAAACTTCATACTACGTAGATCGAAAAAGTTGAAACGAATTTACCTCTAAAAGGAATTTTTTTCTTAACATCAACATTCCTTTCATGATTTTCCCACTTAAGATCCAACGCTCTTTAGTCATGCAACAAGTCAAGGACCTGGAAAACAAAGTTTAACTCCTTTTATCTTTAAGAACGTTATGCTTTTATATTCATTTGTAGATTGTACAGTTGCATTTGCTGGTTAACGGTAGCGTACTCAGGAGGAAACTTCAATAATTGGTTGATATAATAAAATATCAAAATATTTTATTTCTGACAGGGATATTATAAGCTTATATCGTCATAGTTACGCTATCAATAAAGAGGGTCATAACTCCCTTGGAACATTAAAGATTCTATAATTCCCTCTACCTTTCACAAGTAAAAATAAAATAAAAAATGCTAATATACATATATGTGTATATATTTATTAAATGAAACCTGAACCATATTTTATTTATTAGCGTCATTACAAATAATAAATGTACAACTTTGAAATGTTTCCTGAAAATTACTACCGCCACTGCAAACAATTTCTTCTTTTGTATGGCTGGATCTTCTGTTCATTACAGTCGAGGTACCTGTCTCTTCTAATGGCAAAGTAGACAACATACGTGCCGTTTTATTTCTCAATTCGATGCTATCCTCCAGATACCCCTCCACCACCGTGGAACTTTTCCAACCTCCGTGTCTTTTTAAGTTAGTCATAGTTGCTCCTGCATTGGCTAGAGCATTAGCAGAAGTGCGACGAAGGCAATGTCCCGTATAGAAAGATGGGTTGGCAATCCTAAATACATTGCGATTTTGCTGGGGATTTCCCAAACATGTTTTTTCCAATTGGCTGAGATATACATTTATTTTGTCGAAAGCTCAAAAAAAACGTTCAATACCTTTAGGACGCCAAGACATATAAAGTCTTAACAAATGCAAAGCGGAGAACTCTTTTTCATCCACAATTGTAAATTTCTTCGATACTTTCCGGTACGTTCACTACCATAACGAAATCCCGGTCCTCTATATCCGATATCTTCATATTCAAAAGTTCCTGACTTCTGCATCCTCCAAAATAACCAATAATCAAAACAACCTAAAACAAAAAAGGAAATAAATACACACAAAAAGGAAAATACGAAAAAAATTACCTTATGCAATAAATGAATTTCATTAGGAGCGTTCTTTAGAAATCTGATAACATCATTAGGAGATAAAACAGCAGACTTTTTCGGCTTATAACTCTTACTCTTTCGTTTCAAAAAAGCCTCTAGTTCATTGAACTTGGTGATATCTCGTTCCTCATGTATAGTCACCATCGATTTTGGCATTGACCATTTAGTCCATAAAGAATTCGGACTATACGTTTCTGACTGCAACGAATAAACACAATTACTACCAAATCTACCGAAAAACATACAATATTCCTTACCAATTCTTGAAAATATGCCAGTAATACAGTTTCAGTGGCATCTTTTGGCATAACATTATTCCGTGTCAGCCACTCCAGATATCTTGTATTCTTTTTGGTATACGGCTTCACTTTTCGATGGAATTAATGATTCTCTTGCTTTATCAACTTTTTTCAAAATCTGCTCCATTATATTTGGGGTAGAAATAGTTTTTAACGCAAACACAGCTTGATAACAAAGTTCTGTTTATAAACAAGTAACATAGCAACAACAAAACTCTTATAATCAACGGTACCTGATTCAAATATACCTGGAAGGGAATAAATTGGTACATTTTTTCCGTTTTAAAAATGAACAAAATTTTATTGAAATCTGTCAGAAATAAAATTATTTATGTACCACGGGAATTAATGGGCCTTAATAACCTCAGGCAATTGCTGTCCCTCGGGCCAGAGGCCCTCGGGACGCAAACTTTGCCATCGGTAATTAAGGCCCTTATAATTCCCTTGATACATAAATAACTATGTTCTAGGTTGGATATTCCTATTATATTATTACTACACTTAGTAACTTTAGTAGATTTACATTCAAAAATCATTTTTAAACAGTTACTTGCTACCTACGTGTAAAACCTTAAGGATATAACAAATTTGAACTTATTCTCCGAAATCATCGAATAGTTGTATATAATTTGTTTTATTGTCGTTGACTTCATCACTAATGTAGATTTTGTTACTAGTTGTTCCCACCTCTAATCGTCAAAATAAAATTGCTGTACTTGTCGATTTTTAAAATGTTGAAATGGGACAAAACTTTAGTTTCCTCCTTATTATTTTCTAGAATATTATTTTTTTTTAATTATTTTTAAGACTTAAAAAAAGGCCAACACCGGATATGGAAGCCCTCTTCTACCTCTCCTGTTGACATTAAATTGTTTTCTCTCAGATATCTTTGCCGTCGTTGAGTTTTGCTAATTGGATTCGATAATAAATGTAAAATTTTTTCAGATAATATGTTCCATTTCTGATTTTTGTAATAAATTGAAAAGGAAAATATTTTCTGATTCTTTAAATAAATTTGCTAGATATGTTTCGTTACTCTTCGCATATAAATTATTTTCATTTTTCATCTTTGCAATTTTATAAAAATCTTTTTTTTTCTTTTTTCACAATAATGAAATATACGGAGTGGCCCAAAAGTCTGGAAACGGCCAATTATCTCGTAAATTGCTAATCCTAATTGTACAAACTTTGGGGTACACCTATTTTGGGATACGGAAATTCCAGATTTGATATTTACAATGTTGCCAGATTTGCCGTTTCTTTTATATTATTAGTCACTTTGGTTTTTCAAATTCATCACCCTGTATATTCAGTCACTATTGGAATCTCCTATTCAATACGAGTTCAAACATATGTAACACTTATGATTTTATGTAGTCTGGAAGGTCTTAAATAAATAAAACAATCATGGAGAAATGTGGTAGACGCATTCTACCATCGATTAGGGTACTGTCAACTCATAAAATGGAGCACATTTTAAACACTTAATAAAGTAACCATTATATTTAAATTGTTATAATCTTTCAATTGTTACGTTTTAATGTAGCTGAAAATAGTTTGTATTAAAAAATGTATTGAGACAATTAGGCGTTGCCAGACTTATTTTATTTATTTAAGACCTTCCAGACTACATAAAATCATAAGTGTTATATATGGTTGAACTCGTATTGAATAGGATATTCCAGTAATGACTGAATATACAGGATGATGAATTTGAAAA